TCGTCAAGCATTTTATTTATTTGGCGTTCTACTTCTGGCTTATGAATGTCAGGGAAGCGGTAAGACTTAGTGTTAATTGGTATAGAAGATGAAGTAGGAATTTCGTGTTGCAAGACGTTTGTGTTAGTTAATTTGTCGCCAGGCAAATGAAAAATATCGGAGTAAGTACAGCTAAGGTCGCACAGTGCTTCTTTCTCATCTCTATTTAGGTGTGACAATCTTAAGAGATTTAGAGTTTGATTGGTGCGAGTAAGGGCGTTATTTCTAGAACCGTCTGAAGAAGTATAAAAGATTTGATGATTATATTTATTTTCCAAAGGTTGTAGCGTTAGTTTTAGATCGGAATCGACGATTAATTCGCTTTCAGAAGTATTTACAACGGAAATATTAATTCTTGAATTTGATTTCACTTTTACGATGCAGTTAGCTATTAGGAGCGAGTCTACGGGGTTCTGATCGAGAACAAGTCCTTCTTTAATGTCCGGATTTCTTACAGAACACTCTATGATAGTTTCACATCGAGGTGCAATAGTATAGACTGCCTTAGTGAAACAAAGCTCTATTTCATCTTTATTTACTTTTAAGGTGTTGTTCTCATAATTAATTTTGCAATTTAATTTGATATGGAAATCGCTACCGATGATTCCGTCATACGGCAAATCAAACGCCGGAAGTACGTAGAAGTTATGTTGATAGGAACAAAATTCAATTGGGATATGACCAAGGGATGTAACAGAGTCATTTCCTATACCAATAATTTCTATAGTATTATTGTTTATTTCAGGCATCTTTTCTACAGCAGAATCTTTAATAATACTGATAGCTGCGCCGGTATCGACGAGCAAGGATAAGGACTTCGACGAGACAGAAGTTTGAACTTTTATAAAAGGTAAGTATTTTTTTGATGGATTTGTAGAGATGTTATATATTTTAATATTGTTTTCTTTCCTTTCAGGTGCAGGAGACGAAATGCTCTTCGATATGACGCCGTTGATAGGCTGTTTGGTAATTGGAGTAGCATTATTAACTTGCAATCTGTCGGTTTGGGGCTGGATACCCTGTCGGTTAGATGGGAATATAAAATGAGCGAAATGCTGTGTTGCGATTGGCAATGGGGTGAGTATCGGCTTTGCTATTTAGTCTTCCCGTGCGATACTGAACGGGAAATTTTCCGCGTTTAAATGATGGTTGGTGTTATCGACATTTTGATCGACTGCAATAGCAGCAATGATGTACTGATTACGATTCGGGAGTGTGAGCCGGTGGACCATTATTATTGTAGTACTGCGATTAAATTATTATTACAAAACTGTTAGAGAATAATAAAAGGCCTCTCTCTTAAATACAACTATAAATCTTACCTTCTAATTCATTTCTTCAAAAAAAAATTACCCACTACTGTTGATAGACGAGGATTTAAGCCAACCACGAAAGTGTGTAACGCTAAGTCCTGCATTGCCGCGAGACGGCCTGCCAGTTCTCCCTTTTTTTAGTAGGTATTGATATATTTATTTCTGTCAATAATTTAGACAAACACGTCTCTATTCGCAGGGCGTACTGGTTGACCGTTTCGTTATTGGACTGACGACATTCTTGTAGGTCTGAGAGCAGTGCAGCGTAATGTTTCCTGTCACCGAGTTGGGATTTAAGAAAGTCTTCTAACTGTGACCAAGATTCAAATATTTTAATCGAGCACGCGCTTTCAATGCATCCTTCTAATTGACTAAGTATGTATTTTAAAAGAATATCCTGTTGTTGATCTGACGCGAGGTTCATAGCATTACTACAGTTATTAATAAACGGTATTAATTTTTCTCGGTTGCCATCAAACTTACTTATAAATTTACAAAGAATATTAAGATCGATGCTTGGTGTCGAAATAACCGGTGTAGGTTCGTCTTTAGGCATTGTGGCGGACGAGAATTAGTTAAAACAAAGATAAGGTACTCGGCGTTTCGCGTGGGCGTAGTAGCTATAAGGCGTTGCACTGGTCTCGAATACAAGCAATAACACACAATTAAGATATAATGTTTAAAAGACACTTGATATACAATGAATTATATTAAAGTGAATGAATGAGAGTATAATTGAAATATGAATAAATTTGTATTTATATTTAGATTTGACTGTTTAAATAAATTAACTTATATATTTTGCAAAATTCATAAAACATTCAGTATTATTCACAATATTTAAAACTGTATCATTATAATATTCGTATAAAGCTGGAGCGGACTTACAGGAACATTTCGGGTTTATGTACTTGTATTTTGTTCAGGATTCAGGAACACAGCGACAACGTAGAAAACAGCGAAAGTGTGCAGCACTGTTGACTTCGTAGACTCGGTTTGCGGATGATGAGCAGATGCTGGATGGTATTCTTCTTCTACTCTCTTTTCTTTTTCGAGTGAGTTCGAATCCCGGGTCGGATCAAAAATCAATTATTGAGCTTTTCCGTTAAGAAATTCTCAGTAGCTGCCCGGAGTCAGGAAGCCTGCGGTGTCTCACCCCCGTGCCTCGGAAAGCAAGTAAAGCTGTTGGTCTTGCGTCTGATCTCTCGCTGGTCGTATCGGTTTACCGTACTATCGGATTATGAGAGTGAGGGAATAGAGAGTGCACCTGTGCTTGCGCATACACTTGGCCACTATAATCCTGTCCTGCGGCGATGGCTAGTCTCCGTTGAGGCAGGCCATCTTGACCGAGACTCGGTCTCGAGGATATTAATCTTATAGTCTCCTATTACATCAACGAAATGATATGTGGTAGTGGTTTTTTACGTCGCTACTACATCGCTATCCATGACAATTATTATTTTTACGATTCTATAAGGTTTGAGGAAAAATACTTTGACGTGAAGAAAATATGTTAAAGTATGAAACTGAAACGGTCTAGAAATGCTCAGGTTATATTAAACTTTTTTTTAAACTTTTATAAAGGTAAAAACTCGAGGAAATCTTTAACACAAATCAGTGTAAAGCAAGTATTATCTAGTATAATACACCAGTTCACTTATTTTAGCTGGCGTTTATGCCAGCAGGTTTAGGTTCATTTGCCTTCAATAATTCATTAGTTTACACTTTCAATTTGTAAACATTTTGTATCGAGTCGAATGGAACATGCGTTCAACGATAACGTTAATATTGTTCTTGACAGTGTGCTGTTGGACGAGTTATGCTAGTTTAAACGAATTGATTGGAAACAATTCAGGTAATTGACAAATTTTGATATCACTTGCTACTTACTACAACTGAAACTGCTTTATTCCCGATTGAGGTAAGAAATAACACAAGTAACAACTAGTATCACAGAATATATAATAGCTAGAATATCTTTTAAGTAAGTATCTACGTTCGAGATTTTGCGCCCAATTTTTCCACCTTTAGGTTTATGAAACGTCATTGTTTTGGATAGGGGAGGGGGAGGGATCATTGTTGCTCTTAAATCAGCTCTCAAATAAACAAACATAGCTTGTTGAAGTAATTATTCATTTTTGAAAATCCATTTTTCTCACTCCATCTTTCCATCTTCCTGTCACGCGAGGTGTAATGTTTTGTTAATTAAAAAAAATGGATTGCAAGACAGGCGGCACGCATCAGACGTTTTGCGGGAATAATTTATTGATAATAACTGTAATGCGGATACACCGCTTTTACGAGACGGTCCCGCAGAATGCGGTTGGCCGCCGTAAAGATGGTATTGAATATAGTTGACCTTAGAAGCCTATGGCACTGATATGTTACAAGAATATAAGCAAATATTTTGAATAAAATAAATAAATTAATTAGGAATCTATGACCCTGTCACTTCGCAGGGTTACTGGCCCAAGGGCAAAAGGCAAAGTAATTGTTCAAACAAAAATTCATACAAATATCAGTGCCATAGGCTTCTACTCCGTTCACATGTTACACCCTATTTTTTTTCCAAATGGTAAGTCAAGTAAAAAAGTCATCCAGAATATACAACACCTACATACAACAGGATATCATTCTATGATTTCCAGTAGGCAACTCGACTCTTAATACACACTCACTCTTACGATATATTGCTCTTTTATTTTTTGGAATTTGAATCCCAGAATTTAGTATTGGGCAGAAGGAAAGATATGCAGTATCTGGATTGATTACTTTATCCGTTTTGTAGATGAAAAATCGGTGAAGCAATCAGATGGCTTTGAATTTAGCAATTTGTCTCGGTCAAGCCTGCTTCGAATTCTGTCAGCCATCGAACAGGATTTTCACTCAAAGGTGAAACTTAAAGGTGAACTTCAAACAAAGAAATTAGCGCCAGTATTTACTGCGCAGTTTGCAAATAATAAATACACACGGCCGTTTATATATCCAAATAATTACAGAAAACATCGATATAATAGTTAAACGGCTACCAATTTTTTTTAAATAAATAAAACTGTAGAAACATTTAATTGGTTATATTTATATTTCGATATAAAATAAAGCGTCAATAAATTATGAAGTATGTTAAGTGAGTTGTTATTTTCTCCAAAACTATCTGTTCTCGTGCCCTTGGATAAAATACAAAACAAGTTAAAATAAAAAATAATTTCCTGGTTTATTTCATGCACAATTGTATTTCAATAAATTCAAACAAGTCCTAACGACTTGTTTGAATTTATTGAAATTAAAAAGTAATGTAAAAACGGCGTCTAAATATTTTACGATTTTTGAGTATCGTTAATGTTTTAAAAATCTATCAACTTTTTAATATATACGTTATACATTTCTTTCATGATTTTTCTTTGAGAAATAACCACTTTTATAATAACGTCATAAAATTATAGCTATCTATGTTTTTTTAACTACATATGTTTGTTATTAGTAATTACTCTAAGTAACTACATGAACAAAGAGTATATATGAGTCAGAGTTTGAAAATTTGTCCAAGACATAAGTACTTTGTAAATAATAAATATGTCAAACGTGAATCGAACTGATTAAAAAGTAAAAATTAATTTTGCCTTTGTGATAATAAAAAGGAATGGAAACATGCACGCTGAATCTGATAGTATTTACCCTGATCCTGGATTCTGGACAAAAACCTCAATAATTCAGTTATGCTACGGGATATTAGTAAACCTAACTGTGGTGACAATTGGTCTGGCGTTTGGCTTCTCAGCTGTGCTGCTACCGCAACTTTCGGTAACTGAGCCCAAAATTCCAACTTCAATATTCGAAGAATCGTGGATTGGTTTGTATATTGTTTCCGTACAAATTAGCAAAATTTACTTACCACGTTCACTATGACCGTCTTGATTACCTAAATTAAGTACAATGACTGTCATCTATGACATGGTATTACGTCCTTGTGGCACTTACACAAAAATGTATGCTATCTAGCTTTCACAGTAATATTGCATTCCTTTTTCCATGATTAACCCATTTATTTTTAATGCTAGTATTATTGTTATACTCGGGGACCAAACCTCTATCAAATACAACACCTTGCTCCTCCAAATTCCTGCCAAACAACTCTAAATCCAACCCCTATAAGTGTGTAAATAGTCACTTTTATTATTCTACTATAATATGTCCTACGAATAATTTTACACTGCCATTGCCTAAGTTAACTTAGAGAACATCATCATTGTCATTATAATTTTTCATAATTTTCAGTGGAGGGAACAGTAATTTGTTTAAAATATTATTCCCATGTCGTCACATGTAGTTTATGTTGAATCTGTGGTAGCACTGTCATCGCGCCACTAGCGAAACACATTAAAGTTTAAATCGCGCTATCAAAGTTCCGAAGTAAAGCAATATATATAGAATAGCTCCTAACTACTACTCGGAGCATTGGCCGCTGCTCAGGCTGAACATCTTGCTTGACGGGAAATCTGCCCTTTTCCTTCTACGGCCAAACTGGTGACGTCGAGACGTGGTGTGAACATGCACGCAATCGCGCAACCAACAACCTTCGGAAACTTAAACTTCAAGCTTTCGTCATCGTCCTCATTCCTCAAGTATCCCTATCCATTCACTCCCGAGCAGATATTGTCTGCAGTCTTCAGATCCTGCACGCCATCTAGCTTTACAAGTTTCATCGCAGCACTGGTATAATGCTTACAGTTCCTTCAAGCTACTCTTTGCGCTACAGTTTTTGGCACGGCTCTGAGCCTTACTGCTCGCCTCTGCTTCACGGCACTCTCGCAGATAACTTGCCTTCTTCTCGACTCACCGCAGACTACAAGGCAATCCCTGGCAACTTGCATATTCGTCGACAACTAGACTGCTTCATCAACCTACGGTCTGAGCAGGAAGGTGCTGTGGCAGCGCTGTCGTCACGCCACAAGTGACACACATTAAAGCTTAAATCGCGCTATCAAAGCTCCGAAGCAAAGCAGTATAATATATATAATAGCTTCTAACTACCACTCCCAGCGTTGTTCCCCGGACTGAACACCTTGCCCGGCGGGAGATCTCCCCTTATTCTTCAACCGCCAAAGATCTTATAGTTACGAGGAGATTTCTCACAAATGTCACCCATTGCAGGCGGCATCATAGCTCTACCACGTACAAAATGAACGAGATTATAAAAAAATATTTTATTTTATTTCAGTAAGCGTTTTAGCCTTAGCGACTCCGTTTGGATGTTTGTTTAGCGGGTACTTGTTGGATAACTTCGGACGGCGTACAATGCTAATTCTATGCGAGTTACCTATAGCCATTGGTTGGATTTTGACAGGCTTTGCTAGCACTGCCAGGGATATCATTATAGGTAATATAAAGTTTCCAAAGTGTAGGTTTGTCGTATAGTGACGGCGTAGAATACACTACTTCATATTATTGTATGATTCTCGTAAGAGGCAATAGAGATAGAGGGAAACTGAACCAAAAGATCTTCAGCAGCATCTTCCTGATGACCAACTCAAAGTAATAAAACTGTGGTTGCCTATCTGCCTGCCAATCGCTGCAACTATGGCAAATATCTTTTATTACGTGGTAGGGCCACGCTGCAGCTATATTATAGTAGTGGCACGAACGGTTCGATTCGACTGAGGCAGAACAACGATCTCACAGAATATCAGCGTAAAATAGCAGCGTAATACTGCTGTGTTTCGTATGCTGAGTGTAGAGCCTTTTTATTGGAATCGAGGCATTCCATCTTAGTCCTCAGGGGTGATAACGCATTTGGGTTTTCATTCTTAATCGAGGATAAATGTGGATGTCTATTGGCCACAGCATCCATTTACAATCAGGTGGACTGTGTGTTCGTTTATCACCCTTAATCTATAAAAATATCTAAGAAGGCAATCTGTGAAGAAGACTCACGTTCAGTAGTAGACTTAATAGACTGTAATGAAAACATGAGTTAATTTATCTTGTATTCATCATCAGCGCACAGCGCACAACTATGTACTGCAGAATATTTCAGGCTTAGTTATGATAAAAAAAATATGGGGCATTTCTCTGTAAAATGAAAACAAAGTTTTCTTTAGACCTTTTTTTAGCATTTTAGAAAATTTTTTTTCGACTGTAATATCTCCACTATCTCTACATCTTACATGAAACATCAAGCTATAACATCATAGTGTCATGTTATCCTTGAGATCCAAAATTATATGACTCAATGCCGTTTATTTGTAAGAAAGATAAGATTTCCACAGTTCTGAACTCCATCACTGGTGATGAGGAATTTTGTAGGGAATGCCCTTCCGTGTTCGTGCGGAGCGTGTATAACCTTGTATAACGTAACCATAAAAATAAGTAAAGAACATCATATTTTTCTTTCATGTGATATGCAGCTAGAATTATTGTTGGAATTGGATGTGGTATGGCAATGAGCGCCCCTAGGGCTTACTTAACAGAAATATCGCTTCCCAATATGCGTGGTGTCATTGGTAGCTTTCCCAACATCGCTATGTCACTCGGGCTCACAGTTCAGGTTTGGAAATATATACATAATTTAATTAATATAAATTTAGAAGTAGTGTAAGAAAATACTATTATAAATAATTCCATTATTCATTTAAAAAAAGTTTAAGTTGGTGATTAATAACCGTCATTGACCGTGAATTGGAGGTGTAAGAACATCCGTTACCCTTATAGTCCCGGTAAATGTCGTAAGAGGTGGCAGATTGAAACAAACCGGAAGATGGGTAGAAGCGTTTTATACCAACAACTAAAAATAAAAAACAGCGTTTATATTGAATAAGGCTAAAAACCAGCACACATTCCACCTGATGGTAAGTGGATGCTATGAAAACCCAAAAGCCTAAAGCACTACATTGTAGATTACCCTAAAATTGTGCAAAATATCTAAAAGTGAAAGACTCGCAAGGTGCCATTTGTTCCTTAATAGTCTATATTACGGCCCAAACATCTACATAGACATCTTATGCCCATAGACATCTACATTTATCCTCGATTAAGAATCTAAATGCAGATGCGTTATCACCCCTGAGGTCTAAGATGAAATGCCCCGTTTCCAGTAAATAACGGTCTCCGGATCTCTGCACTCACCATACGAAACACAGCAGTATTAAGCTGCTACTTTACGCTGGTATTCTGTGAGAGCGTATAATATAGCTGCAGCGTGGCTCTACCATGTATGAAGGTTGCCAACTCGCCAACCAAGGGTGGCAACTATGGTCAGCAGTGAACTTCTGATAGGCTGTAACAGTAACGGTATCGGTAACCGGTTTTAATTCAACAAATATTTAGACATAATATAAGCTAAATATTCTAGTAGTAGACAGCCTTTTCTTTCTACCGTGAATATAGACTTATTATACTACTACGTATTGACCGGGTCATTGAACAAACAAAATGGCACCGACTCATTGGTGCGAAAATGTTTATGGAGCAACAACGCGAGCCCATATGCGCGCCGTGCGTCCGTGTAGTGTTTCCACTTTTAGATATTTTGCACAACTTTAGGGTAAATCTACTAATATACGTAGTGCTTTAGGCATTTCTTCAAGTTGACAGGGTTTTGGATAATTTGGGGTGAAATCGAACTTCAAGTACCCCGTTTTATATGCCCACCCAATGTAAGTTTTTTTAAAGATTTATCGTAGGGGACAAGGTCAAAAGATCTAGTAAAGTGTAAAATGAAAAAGTTTTTCATTCTGTATATCGGCATAATGGTCTCGTATTTTTCTAAGTTACATATTCATTATTCCTATGATACAACTGTTATAATCATTTGAAAATACGAACGTCTTCTTCGTCACTAAACTCGAAGAGTTTTAATCGTGAACTGATGTTCAAAACTTGCAATGATGTTGTTCTTTAAAATGAAAAAAATTAGGTGCAATTAATTTATAGGCTATTAAGATTTTTTTACGATAATTTAGGGAGTATTTTTACAGGTTCCAGTGTAAAACCAAAATCATAAGGGGAAGCACTGGTTTCGTAGTAGTTCATGATTTATTTTTTATTATTATAGGATAGGGTGACAAACGAGCACACAGTCCACCTGGTGGTAAGTGGTTGCTGTGGCCCATAGACATCTACATCTATCCTCGATTACGAATCAAAATGCAGATGCATTGTCACCCGTGAGGACTAAGATGGAATGCCTCGTTTCCAGTAAAAAGGTCTCCGGTTCTCTACACTCACCATACGAAACACAACAGCATCAAGCTATCATTTCACGCTGGTATTCTGTGAGAGCGTGGTTCCTCCCCGGTCGAGCCGACCCATTCGTGCTACAACTTTACTACTGATATAAAACTGCAGCATTGCTCTACCACGTACAAAATGAGTATTTAAGAGATGGCGCTGATTTATCCTATGCTTAAACCGTGAAAAATTTTTTTTCGAACAACTATATCTTGTCATTTATATCGATGATCGTGAAAGAACATAATTCAATTTTACGAATTGTCTTGCTGGTGTAGAAATAGATTTCACGGGCGTTACTATTATAGCAGTTCACGGGAAGGACTTAAGCAAAGATTATAAAGTAGATAGTAACATTAATAATAGAATCAATGTGCCATAATAGTAAATATTGTTTTCAGGCTGGGCTAAGTTCTGTAATAAGATGGAATGATTTGTCATTTATCAACGGCGGCTATTCGATAATATTATTTTTTATAGGCTTTACCTTTCCGGAGACTCCGTATTTTATTCTTATGAAAGACACTCCGGAGAAGGCCAAAGAGAATTTAAAGAAGTTCAGATCAGCCAAGTACAACATTGACGCAGAAATGGAACAGCTGATAGACTACAAGGCCGATAACGATATTCGTAGGTAAATTGCTAATAATATATAGTTAATACGTGTTTGTGAGTCTTTACGTGGCTATATTGCAGTTATATTAGTAGTATAGTTGTAGCACGAATGGGTCGGCTTGACCGGGATAGAACCACGTTCTCACAGAATACTAGCGTAAAATAGCAGTTTAATGCTGTTGTGTTTTGTATGGTAAGTGTAGAGAACCGGAGACCCTTTTTTACTGAAAACGAGTCTTGCATCTTCGACCTTACGGGTGACAACGCATCTGCATTTTGATTCGTAATCGAGGATAGTTGTCTATGTTCCACAGCAACCACTTACCATCAGGTGGACTGTGTACTCATTTGTCACCCTATCACCCTATAAAAATATTATGTTGCAAAGATATCTGCTTCGTGGGAATAAGAGTTGGCCACTGCTCACTTCACAGTTGGCAAACGGTGGTGTGTATCTATTTCACAGTGATGGGTGTAGCGGTGGATGTATTGTGTTGGTATAAACCATTCGAGGAAGCGCTCTTCCAACTGGGTAATAAAATTCATATTGCTAGTGGATAATATTAAATACTTTTTTCTTCCATATCCATAAATCCATAAACACTCACGCCTGTCATCCAGAGGGGTAGGCAGAGACTACAGATTTCCATTTGGCACGATCCTGACACACCTCTCTCGCCTCTTTCACATCCATACACCTACGCATACATGCTCGTCGGTTAAGGGTACTCCTAATTTGGCCCGTTTCCAATAAATCGCCAATTTGGTCGATAAATTTTCGCCTAGGACGTCCCTTTCCGACTCTGCCATTCACTTCTGCAACATAAATTTTCTTTGTCACTCTTTCCTCATTCATTCTTTCCACATGACCAAACCACCGAAGCATTCCTTTCTTAATCCTGGTCACAACATCATCTTGCAAACCACACTCTTTTTTCTTCTTTACAATTAATTTATTCGAAGCAACGCCTAATTCTAATAAACAACTAAAACTTGTTCAAGTATTTTGAGAAGGTGGTTTATTTCATGGATTTAATTTGTTTCCAGGCTTTCTTTTGGGGGCCAGTTAAAATTCCTTTTTCGAAAATCTGCGTGTAAACCGTTTTGGATTGTGACGATCTACATAATATTTGCACAGTTATCTGGAGTTACGATTGTAATAATGTGGGCTGTAGAAATGTTAGAGGTACTCATTAATTACTGCACAATATAGTAGAAAAGTATGTAAAGTTGTAAAGTACTCGACTGCATAGGCCTATTTATATTTCTAAAATAGTTTTTTGTGGTAAAGAAGTGTCCATCGCACCGCCGCAATGCATCTGACTGACTGACTCGACTGTTAACAAGTTTTCTCACGTTGGTGCATCAACACAACACAAATTACAGTAGTAATTTTTTTTATAGGAGAGGGAGCAAACGAGCCTAGGGTTCACCTGATGTTAAGTGACTACCGCCGCCCATGAACAACCGCAACACCAGGGGAATTGCAGATGCGTTGCCGACCTTTTAGAAAGGAGTAAGCTCTTGTTCTTGAAGGTCCCTAAGTCGTGTCGGTCAGGAAAAATCGCCGGCGGTATACTATTTCAGAGAGAGGTTGTACGCGGAGGAAAACTCCTAGTGAAAGGTACAGTGGTGGACTGCCAAGCATCCAGATGGTGTGGATGGTATGGTATTGTAAGTCGTCGTATTCTGATTTAACGTTTAGTGGCGGTATAAAAATGACCACTATCCTGTATCATCCCGTTGGTGTCGTAAGGGGCGACAGAGGGTAACAAAATAGGAGATAGCAGCAGATGCAGGTGCCTACCCGCTTGGAAAGCGTGGCATTTAAATACAAGAACTGTGGCAAATATGCCTATTAGGCAAACTATGGGGAAGGCCTATGTTCAGCAGTGGACTTTAATAGGCTGTAACGGTGATGGTGACGGTAACACTGATTTAAGAAAATAAAAAAAGGATTAGTCCTCGAATTCACCACAGCTGTAACTAGTATCACGTAGTATTAGTCAATCAGCCATAGAAAAAGAAATAAAAATATTTTTTATTATAGACAGAGATAACAAGTATGTTGTTATTAATTTATATTTATTTCCTAAATATTATGTAAGTAATATTACTTTCAATATTGTAACTTATTTCTTAAATGAGTGCGATGTGGAATAATATGTTTACTTAGGCATCATAGCAAGTAATGGTACAAACTTAAGAAGAAAAGGAAAATACTATATTGTAATTTTTTAGAAATCTAAGTCAAGCGTAAATGCATATACCGGAAATATTTTGCTGTGTGTAACTAGACTTTGTTCGGGAATTCTCACTTCATTTTTGATTTTAATAGTCAGAAGAAGGCGTTTAGCTATAATATCAAGTAAGTGTATTTTTATACTGTTATATAATTAATATAAAAATATATCTAAACAAAAGATTAATCTCGAAAGTGGAGCTACTGTTTAAGACCTCAATGAAGTGTTAAGATGGCGATAAAAATATTATATGGTTTTCTTTAATGTAGCAAAAACCGTTTGTCCTTAACGGGTTTTTGAAAAATATTCAAACACAACAAAGCGCCAAAAGACATCTAAAACTTGAATTGATTGAAATGTAAAATATTTCTATATAATATTGTATAAAAATTCCAAATTATAACCTTCATCATATTTACAGCCCTTCACAAGTCCACTGCTGAACGTAGGCCTCCCCCAGGTATGCCACAAAGCACGGTCCTGAGCCACCTGCATCCATCGAATTCCCGCATGTCTTACCAGGTCGTCACCCCATCTCATTATACGCTCCATGCATTAATACGCATTAATACTCCATGTTTTGTTGATGGACAAGGCAGCATCGATCGACTTATGGTGAAAAACTCATCTTTAAACCCTGAACCCAACTTCCAAAGATCGGTGATGCGCATTAATATTGCTAGTGCTAGTTTTAACCAACCTGGTGAGGTATGGACAAATATTCCAAGGAATGCTTACATGTTACCAAAAATTCTGTCTATAACTCTATTTCATATTAAGTCTTTATCTGTGAAATTGCCGTTTTTTATGAAATAAGTTAATTAATTTTTTTCTCCATTTTTATTTCTATTAATCAAAGTATCATTATAATATACGCGGTTTAAGGGCGCCACCGGCGCACCTTGAACCTACAGTCAAAAAATTTACATGAACAACAATACAACAGTAACTGAAGATCCAATGTCAATATTCCGAAATTAGTTGGAGATTTTTTTATTTTTTCAGCAGTTCTTTTTAAGTTGCCAACAGATTTATCTCTTTGATCCCGAATATTTTTTTCGTTCTTACATTAATTGTACAACAGTTACTATCAGTAACTTTCACCACATGACGATACTCCACAAATAACATGAACATTTTCTACATTTTCTACACGAGTAACACGAATGTGATCCTGTCCATTCAGTTTACAATTATAATTATTGCATTGGATTAGTCTAGTAAGATATTTATTGATCGCTGTCATATAACTATATCACGGTATATAAGTTATATTCCTAGGAATATAACTATATCACGGCTTTAACGATCTTACTGCCGCATATGCATCTTTACCAACGCAGTGACAGTTCATTGACGCCCTTCTTGAAGAAATAAGCAAGATATAGAGATAAAATCAGCTAGCTGTATGCAACAAATCTTCTAAGGCATTTTGTACTGCCTTTCGAGTATTGAGTTTTTCTCCCGCCAAAAAGTTATCCAAATTCTGTAAAAATAGAAGTCTGTAAGCGCAAGGTCTGGTGAGTACGGTGGATGACGCAGAGCTTCCAACCTCAGCTCTCGTTCAACTTGGAGACCATCTGTTACGTAGTACGAGGTCGCGCGTTGTTATGCAGGAATAGCGGGGACGAGCGATTGACCAAAGCTGGTAGGAGACGTGCGAGCTTCTCTATCATTGTGTTCAGTTCTTCACAGTACACATCTGTAGTAATGCTCATCCCATTTGCTAAGAAGCTGTGATGAACCACAACGGCGCCAGACCACCAAATAGTGACAATTATTAGGTTTTTTCGTTTAGGGCACTGTTTGGGTACTGAACCGGGATCCAACAAACTTGTTCAGCGCTTGCTTTTGTCAAACAGAATTAATTTTTGTTGCAGGTAAAATGCGGTTTAAAATTCCTTCGTGTGTATGCCCGTTGAGCAGTGCGTAGTATCAGGTATTACGTAGTACAAGTATTACGATCATTGAGTTCGTGGAGCACCCATTCGTCAAGCTTTTTTACCTTGCTAATTTGATGCAAACTGACCAACATTGTTTTGATGCTAACGTCGAAAACTTGCTCATTGCTAATTCAGCCGTAGATTGAGTATCATCAGCTTCCACAGGGCAATTTCCAGAACGGAAGCAGGCAAACCAATGACAGGTGGTGCGGTCGTTTGAAGTATTCGTGATTCGTTGATGTTGCGTATCACTTGTGCCGCGTGGTTGCCACAACGTTTCCCATATTCCATATTTACTCGAATTTTTAACATATCCATGATGACGAAAAAGATTTAAATGCGATGAAAACATAACGCTAGTCAAAAAGCAAATAACTAATTTTGAAAAAGGAATTCCATGTTTTTAAAATAAAATAAATTTTATATTTGAATCTTAGCCAAAAAAATGTTTGATTTGAAAGGGCCAGTACTGCAGAACGGCAATTCCATAGGTAAAACATTTTATATTTTCGGATCCATATCTATTTTAAACCTATTTATTCAGATCTTCAAATGAACCCAAAAACGAACTGAGTTGGTTGGAACTGAGTTGGCTACCTTGCAGATTTCAGGTGATATTTTAGCATTAGGTCAAGGTTATCATGTTCTTAAAATATCATCGAAGTAAAATTTAGAATCGATCAGACTTGTGGAAGTTGCCCTCATCCCTTTATCAAGGTATTCTAATGACTGATCAGATTTTCTTAAATCATGGATAAAAACACTCTCGATCGAGTCACCTTTAAAAAAATACTAAATAAAAATCGGTTCAAAAAACTAGTTGCCAAACCCTAACGTGGTGCTGGCAGATATCCCACCAAATACACACTATGAGGAAATCTATTGGGGAAGTCATTGATCAGCATTGGACATTGCAGAGGCTCTAACGGATGTATATACACTTTCGGAAATCGGGCGGCATGAGGTTCCGAACGCCGAGAAAGACAATTAAAAAAAAGAAAAAGTTATCCTCTGCCGAGGAGGGGCCGCCACGGGGCGTCCTGCGCAGGTGTGTCCGTGTGTGTTAAAGCGCTCCCGTGGCCTAGCCAATGTTCAGTAAAGGTGGTAGCACACCATCAGGTTTTAGTCGGAAGGCGACTACGCGTAGTCATTTCCCCGTTTTAAAAAGGAGGCTCCAGGAGGCAGCAACATATGCTAGCTGCTTCGGTTGTACAAAACACGTATTATAATGCTTATTATTGTTACAGGTCTTGGTGTGTCAGCCGTGTGTCTTTTACTTGGAACATTTATTTCATACGCGAAAGAGCCGAGCATACTTCCACAGTTGTGCTATATAGCCTTTATTACATTTGCTAGTCTAGGCTACTATACTTTACCAATTCTCATTATATTTGAATTGTGCCCTTTGCAAGTATGAATCTTTTTAAAAAACAATTCGATAATAAACAGTACATCTGTTATCAGTCATTCTACATTTTGTTAACAAAATTCCATTTTCTCTAATAACGTAGGATAAGTAATAAATTAACTATTTGTATTCAATATTTTCAGATTAGAGGTCTTCTTGGAAGTATAACAATTTCCATTACAAACATTACAATTTTTGGTGTTAATCAATGTTTCCTATATGTTCAAAATGCACTTGGTTTCGCCAACACAATATTAGCTTTTGGTGCATCTTCCTTTTTAGGTTAGAATTTCGTAATTTATTTTATTAACCACAGTGTTGAATTTGGTTTATTAATAAATATCTTTTAATTTTATTAATATTCCTCAGGCTGTATCTACATTTACTTCTTTTTGCCAGAAACAAAAGATTTGACTTTACAAGAAATCGAGGAATTCTACAATGAGAGGCGAGCTACTCTAACATCACAACGTCGTATCGTTTCTATGCATGCTCTGTCTAAACAAGCTAGTTTAGCAAGTAGATCATTAATGAAAGTGACTTAAATATTATACTATCATATACTATGTGTGAAATAAATGAGAAAAAGTTATATCACTTTTATTAACAGTCTAATAACGAGTGGTGGATTCCTTTGGTAACGAGTTTTAAGCTATTGCATAGCTTCTATCGCGGACCTTGAGCGCGGGGACCGAATCCAGAAATTCCGTAACGAAAAAACCTCACGCTCCCCACTCCGACGGGCACGGAGGTGTGGCGTTGAAAGCCGTGCATCGTCTAACGTCATTTTAGTTCGACAGACTTCGGCACTCGGAGACTTCGGCTCGGCAGACTTCGGCACTCGGCAGACTTCGGCACTCGGCAGACTTCGGCACGGGGTTTGTGTGCGTGTACACTAGCTGCTAACTCAATGATAAAAATTCCTGAATAACCTACAAGTATTGTAAGATATTAAAAATATTTTAAACAATATTAACTTCTCATTTATTCAATAAGAGAAAAAAAAATTTGTTTTCTTATCGGTCACCACGCTCAAAAAGTGTAACTTGATTTAATATCAAAGACTTAACTGCATAAATAAAGTAATTAATTATAATTGCATAAGTTTATAAAAAATGCTCTGCAATAGCTATACCGCGGCAGTCATCGAGTGCCACACGTATTTTTTTTAATTCTAAGTAGCTATATCTACTCACAGTCACAATCTGCCCAACAGAAAGTTTGTGGGCAGCAGCTCTCGTGGATACAATATTTATCTTGGTATATGTACTTTTATATTAGTCTTTCCTAGATCAGTCAATAGCAAGTCCAACACAAGTTACAAATCCTTAAGAACAAAAAAGGAAAAATAAACAAAATTAATTCAACTTAATACCTATATAAAATAAATAAAGATAAGTCTTCAACGGTATCTGATTATGAAAATAAAGACGATTAATGTCTTTTTTTAAGGTACTCTTCAAGTTATTTTTACTTTTGATATTTTTATCATATTTCGCAGTGAATCATTCACAATTCAATACAGGCCGACGTCTGTCTTCAATCTATTGTCTTATTGCGAATTTTTCGTTTGCTATATACTAATATTCAGGTACGAACTACTAATATAAAGTGAACGGCTCGCAACGAAACTGTTGCTATGCACTTTTTTTTAGAAAGATTCGCGGACGCAGGCACAACAAACCAAAATTTTGTCGTAGTAGGATAAATGGTAGAGAAAGTTATAGAAAATGAACAAACAAAGAAGTAAATATAAATTTTTGGCAGAACGCACCAATAGCATCTTGCCAAAGTTTCATCGTAACCGGATGAACTAGACAGGAACGAATGGAAGCCAAACAATAATTTTATATACGACAGGCGATGCAATAACTTTTGCGAAAGCACTTTTATGTATGAGACACTGTGACACGGTAAGTTATGATCTATTTTGAAAACAAGATTATTTACTTGATGATTAACTTAATTAAAATATGAGTATAATTAACGTGTTTTATTGAAAAATGGATACGCGTTGGCAACATTTTCGCGAGTTGTTTTTTAATGAATTCTTATATCGCCTAAAACCTTACAAATTGTTTGATAGACTTCCAATCGCATTTATGGATAAAGACAACCTTGCATCTGTCGCTGGTATAACACATTTTAGCACGGTCGACTCGACTACTAACTTGGTCGACTAACTTTGATATATGAAGGAAGACGTAGTCGCCCTTTGATTGCTGTTGCGGATGGAAAGTTTTTGATTGCTAGGTTTTTCACTTTGACGGGTTATTCGGTGTTTTTCCTCTAATTCCTCTAAATTCAACGAAATCGAAGTAGCATGGATGTAGAATGGAATGCTATCAAACGCTTGCCAGAAAAGTTCACTGCTGTAAAGCAACAAGCGACCTAACACGGGGTTTCACGGGCTAACGCATCATCATGACAACGCGCCCGCGAACTTAGCAGGACATTTATTTATTTATTTATTATCACACACAACAGATTACAACTATTACTAAACAAATTATACAAAAACAATCATTTATAAACTAGGTTGCATTCCACAAAAATGTGTGTACATGAAAAATTACAAGGGAGTTAAATATGTCTACACAATTTAAGGTTTAACAAGAACAGTAATCTAAATAATAGGTACAATGAACAATACTAAATAAGAATATAATAGGGTTAAAATATAAGGAGACCGAGAGTCCAAGCGCTGGGATTAGACTGTCGGCTTGTGATACAGTATGCTTTTAATCAAATTAATATAAAGAGTTAGTTTAGGTAGAAAAACGTCAAAGGTTTGGTTACCCTTGGCTATTTCATTGCACTGACGAGCCATCCTAACCAGGGGGTTGTAAAAGGAGGTATTATTCTGATACACTTGTAAAGTAAAAAGTGCTATTTGATTTGCTCTACGAGCACTATATTTGATATTAAAAGTTATCTCAGCGAGCAAGGTAGGAACGTCTAATATGGAGTGAAGTATTTTATAAAAGTAAACGAAATCAAAATATCTTCGACGTGTTTCCAATTTTTGTACATTAAAATTAATGAGACGAGCTTCATAATCAGGAGTTTTGCGCCTCGACTGTTGGCGGTAGCTTAAAATCCGTAGGCATTTGCGCTGCACTCTCTCTATATTTTCAATATGAACTTTGTAGTGCGGAGACCATATTGGACTACCGTATTCCAAAACGCTTCTGACGAGTGTAGTGAAAAGGTAAAGAAAAGAATGAGTGCCCTTGAAGTCTTTAGTAGATCTAAAAATAAACCCCAGAAGTTGATTCGCTTTTTTCACTATGTGGTGGTAGTGTTCGCGAAATGTCAGCTTATCATCAAAAAGGATTCCGAGATCTTTGACAACATGTGACCTCTCAAGGGTCTGGCCGTTGATGCTGTACTCATTAACGATCCCATTACGCTTGTTAGTGAACGTAATAACGAAACACTTGTCTATATTAAGGTACATTAGATTATTTCTGCACCAGTGAGAAACAGCAGTTAAGTCTTTCTGTAAAAGATTACAGTCTTCGAAAGAGTTTATTGTTTTAAATATTTTCAGGTCGTCAGCGTATAATAGACATTCACATGATATGTTCTTAATGAGGTCATTAATGAAGACAACAAATAACAACGGGCCCAGATGTGACCCCTGGGGCACGCCTGACGTAATGTCAGTAGGGGTCGAGGTGTATCCTCTCAAAGCCACCAACTGACTTCTCTTATTCAAATAGGAGGCCAGCCAGCGAAGGAGACTACCGTGAATACCACAGGTGGCGAGCTTGTTACAAAGTAGTCTATGACTCACTTTATCGAAGGCCTTCGAGAAATCTGTGTAGATAGAGTCAACCTGACCCCCTGTGGCAAAAGCCTTGCACAGGTAGTTTTTATATACAAGAAGATTTGTGACAGTTGATCTACCCTTAATGAATCCATGTTGATTTTCGGGTATCAGAGGCTTAAAATGGCTGTATAACTGAGTGTGTACTTGGGACTCGAAAAGCTTTGCGAAACATGACAAAATACTTATGGGTCTGTAATTATCGCAGCGCGACTTGTCTCCGTTTTTGAAAATGGGTACAATATGTGCTATCTTCCAACGACTGGGAAAAACTCCATTCGTAAGGGATTTGTTAAATATGATGCTTAATGGTGTGCATAGCTCTTTTCCACAACGTTTAACAAATGAAGGAGGTATTTGGTCAGGACCGGCTCCTTTACTTGCATCAAGAAGCTTGATCTTCGTCATGATGTCCCTGTCAGATATATTAATGTGAGACATGGAGTCCATGGTACTACACTCAGGTGACTCTAGATTATTGTTACTCGCAGCAGAGGAGTTACTAAGTTGCTGATCCGATTCAAACACCGAAGCAAAGTACTTTGAAAATAGCTCACATACACCCTGGCCGGTCGAAGAAGAAGAGTTGCCAAACTGCATTACATTTGGAATAGAGACTCGGCCCTTTCTATTATTCACATAAGTCCAGAATGACTTTATATTGTCAGTCATTGATTCTTCAATAGAGGCAACATAATTTTTATAACAATGATCTATCATTTTTTTGGCTCTAGCTCGCAGTAAAGTGAACACGTCGTAATCTCGGGGATTGTTGAATTTTTTATAAAGTTTGTGGTATTTATTTTTTTCTTCGATACATTTTATTAAGGGTTTGCTGTACCAAACGGGATATTTATTAGATCTCATAGCTGTTAATGGCGTATATTTGTTAATAATTACAAAGAGTTGTTCATAAAAAATGTTTACACATTCATCTACATCAGAGCTCGATAAAAGATTGTGCCAGTCCAATAACTCCAAGTCATGTCTTATGCTGTCATAATCACATCTTGCGAAGTTCAAACGTTTTTTGTTATTAAGTTTTAGATTTTTTGGAGTATTACATAAAGAGGGGAATTCAAATTCCAAAGCAGGGTGGTGTCCATCTTTCAAACTCAGCGTATCAGCTTCTGTAACTGTCAACAAATTTTCTGATGATAGTACTAAGTCAAGATATCGGCCTTTTTCATTAGGGGTGCGGTTACCCTGGTGAAGATTGCAAATTGACATAAATTCCTGTAAGAGTAGTAGTTTCTTACTTTGTGAGGTGAAAGATGGCCCGTCAGTATCAGAAGAGACAGGAGAATATTCAGGTGTATTAAAATCTCCAACGATTATATTTTTGTCATCTATACAGTGATTCAACAATATCTTTTGACAATTAGAAAAAAATTCATCTCTCTTAAAACAATTTAATTCGGGAGGAAGGTAACAGACACATATATTGATTTTAGGGGCATTACAATTTTTCGGTATAATTGATATCCAGAGATCCTCCAAATTACTGTCCCAATATGCCTGTCGGAGAACTTGGAATGATTTCTTTACTGCTATAAGGACGCCACCACCGTCCTCTTTAGAAGAGTTAATGTCATCGCGATCTCTTCTAAAGATGTTATAGCGGGAGTCAACGACCTCTCCATCGAAGATATTATTATTCAAGTTGGTTTCCGTCAGGCATATGACGTCATAGTTGGAATTCAACAGATTTCG